ACCAAGGCCACGGGTTCGGATCCTATATAGGGATGGCCGGTTTGCACACTTGGGAGAGCGTGGTGCTGACAACACCAAGTCAAGGGTTAAGATCCCCTTACCGGTCATCTTTAAAAAAAAAAAAATGAAAAGAAAACAACCATACATGTTAATGATACAGTTAATGACACGCCTGCTGAAGGGCTCAGGGGAGGTGAGCTGACCTTGCAGCTGCCTTTGAAATGCGTCCAAGGAGGGAGGTGAGTTGCTGAGCGGAGAGAAGGGTCATGGGGTCACCGTGCGACAAAGCGAGTGGAATCGATCTCAGTGTGGTGAGATTTGCGGTGTGGACTGTACAATTCTTTTCTTTCAGCTGTATGTTTGAACATTTTTATGATAAAAAATTGGGGGCCCTGAGAAATGAAGTGGGCTTTGGGAGTTATCATCCACCCACAGTAGATAAAAAGCTGTGGGCTGGCCGGTTAGCTCAGTTGGTTAGAGCACAGCCTTGTAACAAGGTCAGGGGTTGGGATCCCTGAACAGACCAGCCACCAAGATTAAAAGGCTGAGTTTTGTTCACAGCGCCAGGGCTAGCAGCAGCAGGGACAGAGGCCTGGCTGCCCGAGATCCCCAGCACCCTGGGGTTTTGGCTCCTCCCAGACAAAGCTCTCAGGTATTCAAAATCTCCTGGCAGGCCATCAGGGAGCCTCTACCCTTGAGGCACTGTGCTGACCCAGAGCCTGGAGAATACGATGGCCTTGGTGACAGGGATTACCAACCTTTATTGGGGCTTTTCTCTCTGCTGTGCACTGTGTTAGACATTTACATCTATCACGTCATTTAATGTTCAGATGACTCTATGAAGCTGGTAGTGTTATCATCTTCCTTTCTACACAAAAAACAGGGCACAGAGAAGTTCAGTGACTTGTACGTGGCCACTCAGCTGGCAAACTGCTGAGCTGGGATCCAAAGTCACATTTGACTCCAGAGTCCTTGACCCTAACCACCGCTTTCTTCCACTCCGCATGCTACTCTCTCCTGTTCCTTCCCTCTTCTTCTTGTCCCCTCCCCCAAAGGCCTGTCACAGACAACTTCTCTCTGCTCCATTCTCAGAAGAAAGCTCAGTAGAAATTCTGAGCCCAAAGTGCTCATAATAAACCAAGCAACCCCCTGTACTCTGCTCTCCAGAACAGCTCTACCCCCTGGGATGGGGACCTTCCCCAGCACTCCCTGCAGCCACACACATGCACGCTCACGCACATGCAGGCACACACACCACGACCTGCTGATGGCCAGGACCAGCCGCCCTTCCACCCCAGCATCTTCAGGGCTGCTCTGACCAGCTTCCCTGCCTACCACAAAACCCAAACCACGACATCTGAAAACAGCCTATCACCTCTTTCGCAGAATCCCAGAGCTAAGGAAGACTTCAGACAGCCGGTAGCCAGCCTCCTTCTTTGTTACAGGAGGAAATGAAGGCCCAGAGAGGGGTGACAGCTGACCCAGTGTCACACGGCATACCAGAACTGAACTTTGTCTCCTCCTCCTGACCCTGGGGCTTGTCCCGTCTGCTCAGGACTGGGCAGGGCTGAGTTGGGCTGCAGGGTGGTGGTGGAGGGAGTGTGGGGGTGGACGGATGAGGCCTAGAGACACCCCTGAAGAAACACGAGCTCCTAGGGCCAGGGAAGAGAATCGCTCGTCCCAGCAGTGCTAGCTGGGAGGATCCTGAGAGAGCAGCACTCATTGTATAGATGGGAACCTGTGCTGGATCTCACAGCCATTCCTGATAGGATGGGGGCAGGACTAAGTTTTCCTGAATCCCCAGTGTTCTCCCACGACCATACCTTAATTTGTTCCTAAGGATCTGGAGGCACAGGGCAGGCTGGGACAGCCCAGTGAGTCCCTGAGCTGTGCCTCCCCTGGTATCCACCCGACCATGCCCCCATGGCTGGGGAACCATCAGTACTCCCCAGGACCAAAACAGACCCTTTGCTTTTACCAAGTCCATCCCTAAATGTCACAGAGCTTAGGCTGCATCCTGGGCCCCCTAGGGGCTGTTGGTGAGGGGTTCCACCTCTGAAGCCCCTTGCAGGGAGGGAAAAGGAGGAGGCTACAGGGGCCTAAGAGCCACCCACCAATCCCCAACACACCTGTTTATTAGCCAGGTCCTGGCCTCCAGGGACTTCAGGCCCTGGGCACCGGCAGCTTCAGGCCTCAGACAAGGCCTAAGCAGCCTCAGGAGTGTGTCTGCAGTGGGGGGAGGTGTCAAGGGGTCACCCAGCTGTGAGTCCACCTTCCCTCCCACCAGAGCCAGGCTTGAGACCATGGGAGGAGGATGGGGCATCAGAACGGTGAAGACTGGGTCTATAGCCAAACCCCAAGCAGCCCTGGCCATGCCAGGCCAGCCAGCCACCACCAGCACAAACACTGGGCCCCTGGCTCCACGGGAAGGGGGCATTTCTCAGAGATGACATCAGCTCTTAAAGTTTTATGTTTCCTGTCTACCTCAGCCCAGAGAGCACAGTCCCCAGAGCCACTAGGTGAGGCAGGCACCAGCACCAAAGCAAATAGCTCCCCAATGACCTTAGACACCCACAAGAGAGACGGCAGCAGCCTGCTCACCCCCAAAGACACAGCCATGCCTGGGCCCTGCAGGACAGATGCAAGAGGACAGGAGACACCTACCTCTCAGCTCCCCAGACACATCTAGGGGCCTTTGCTCAGCCGTTCCCTCTAAGTCTGATCCCTTGTCTTCCATGCTCCGGGCCATCTCCCAACGCCTCTTTCTTCTTCAACTGTCCTGTCCCTGGGGAGCCAGCCCTGCCCCCTGAGCCTCGGCAGGGTTCTGTCCCTGCTTCCATTGCAGTCTCATCACCCTGGACAGCATTTACAACCAGATCCCTCCCCACCCACCTCCCTGCCTCATCAGACTCCAGCTTGAGGAGGGCACAAGCCAAGTCCCATTTCACTCTGACCAGGCCTCTTGTAGCACGTGGTGGGAACTTGGGAAATGCATGTAGAGGAAAGCATGGAGGGCAGACAGGTGGAAAACCTGCTGGGGAAGTATCCCTGTTCATCATTCTCCCATGCAATCACTACGTTTTTGCCAAGGGACCCAGGCCTGGCATCCACTCTGAGAAGCATTCCTGCCCCCATGAATGTGCCTGGGGACCTCAGAATTTGGAGGGAGAGACTTTAGTCCCCTCACTACAGGCTTTGCCAGTGGAAGCCCAAGGGAGCCAGCCCCAGCCCCCAGCAGGGCCCCCAAGGGAAGGTGGAGAGGAAGCGTCCTCTGGCCTGTGTCCAGGCCCCCACCCACCCCGGCCCCAGGCCCCCCTCAGGAAATCTCTGGAGAAGCACAGGCGGGAAATGGTGGAGGAGCTGTCTAGTTTCCTCAACCTCAAATGGGTCCGGTGATAGTGCCAGCCACAGAGTGGGGCTGCCTCATGGCCAGTGGTCAGGTCCGGAGGGGGCTGACTTCTGCCCATACAGAAATACAAGCCTGCCCTTGCTGGGGGCCTGGAAACCCACTCCCCAGGCTGAAGCTGCTTCTATCACCCTGTCTCAGGATGTGGGAGGATTAAATGAATCAACTCATGAAAACCTCTGGACCATGGGAAGCATCCAATAAATGTTAGCTATTTTTAGGATAATTATTGTATTATTTAGATTTAACTCACGTTAATGAGTGCCAACTATGGGCTGGCATTGCAGATGCCAGGGGGACAAGCCAGGCATGTTCCTACCTCCCAGGAACCTACAAGGAGGTGGGGGACAGACATAGAAACAGCTGACAGGGAAGTGCAGAGCTGGAGGGGTGGGAAAACCCACAGCGCCTAACCTGGCCTGGGGGTAGGTGGGTCCAGGAAGGCTTCCTGGAGGAGGTGCTGCCCATCAAAGACCTGAAGGATGAGTAGAAAGAAATTAACCCACAACAAAAGGGCAAGGCCTGTCCCACTGAGAGAGCTGGCAAGGGCTCAGCTGAAGGCAGGGCGAGTGGCGGAGGGAGGCCTTTCTGATGGGGAGGGGGCACCGCAGTGTAGGAAGCCACCATGGGATGGGAGCGACAGGGGCCACACCTTCAGGGAGGGTGTGTTCTAGCAGGCAGCACAGCTGAACGAGTGAAGCAATGAATGAGGGGTCCAAAGACAGGAGGCTGAGGTGGAAAACCCTACTTTACCCTGCACAGTGACTGTTCTCTGGCAGCAGGGAGGGTTGACAGAGACAGATGCCAACACACACTGGTCCCCACCCAGCCACCCCTCCTCGAGATTTGTAGGACTAAGGTGTGCTGAAGGTGGCACATCAGGCCCAGAAGGGCCCAGGCCTGGGTCTCCTCGCCTTTTGGCAGCCCCTGCATCCTGTGGGAGGAGGGGATGCCTCCTGGATCCCCCTAGAGCCCGGGGCCAAGCTCCCGCTGCTGACTCAGGCCCCGCTGGCCAGCTCAGCGTTCCTGCCTGGCCCCCCGCTGAATGGGGCTATTGAAACTCTTTGTAGGGAGGTCAGGCCAGAGACCACGCTCCCAACCAGAGCCTTCTCCTGCGCTGTGGGCTCTGCTGTCAGGGGGCAGCACAAGCCCTGGGGGGCAGTCAGAGAGCGCTCCAGCCACCAGCTGCTGCTCTGAGGGTGTCTGAGAACAAGGACAACTGTGGGTAAGCTGGCTGCGCTGGCATCAGATAGGGGATCTCAGTGGGCAGGAATCTTCCTGACATTCAGGACTGAAGACCCTGGAATGGTGACCCCAGAGGGGGGAGGGTCTCGCCTCCTGTGCGCCTCCATGTTGGTTGTCCTGCCTCTCCCATCAGTTCAGAGCTTCCCTGAGGCAGAGCTGGTCCCCGTCACGTAGGGGCCCCTTTCGGGGGCCGGAGAACTGGAGAGTCAGGGTAGTGGGAGGGGTGGTTTGGAGCCTGGCGCATCAGACCCGGAGCTCCCCAAGCCCAGCCTTTGTCTTCTCCTCAGTGTTTAACACAGGCCTGACACCCGGTGTCTAGCCTCAGCCTCTGCTGGTGGGTCCAGATAAAGCGCCCCCCCTTGCCGTACTGCTCCCCTCCTGGCCTTTGCCCCAAACCAGGATCTGGCCCCCAGCCTGGCTGCATGGCCTGAACATGTCAGGTGTGCTTCTTTCAGGTATGGGGGAGGGCTGGGTGCCATGAAGCCAGTGCAGGTTGTCACCCTTTGTTGCGTACTACTGCTGGTGTCCAGGCTGGGGGCCACCAGGAGGGTGTCCCCAGAAGAGGCCTCCTTCTACTATGGGACCTTCCCACCTGGTATGTCCACTCCTCTGTTGGTCTGCTCTCCGTCTGTCTGTCTGTCGGCTTGCCCACGCTGGCTGACTTGCCAAGGAGTTTGGTGTTATAGCTTCTTGACTGTTAGGATGGGAAATATACCTCCAAGTGGTTGTTCTAAAATAAAAGAAGTTCCTAACAGATTTTTCTTTCTTTCTTTTTTTTTTTTTTAAAGATGACCAGTAAGGGGATCTTAACCCTTGACTTGATGTTGTCAGCACCACGCTCACCCAAGTGAGCCACGGGCCGGCCCTCTAACAGATTTTTCTTAAGTTACTAAAAGCTATAAAGATAATAAATGCTAATCAGAACTAAAACCGTACAAAAACTGTTTTTAATACATTGCATCTTCACTCAGCCTGGCCTACCCGCTCTCACTCCTAGCGGGACAAGCCCTGGGGGACGGGGCAGGCTGGTGGGGAGGGCTGCCTTGAGGCCAGTGCGGGTCCTCTGCCTGCAGGCTTCTCCTGGGGTGTGGGCAGCTCCGCCTACCAGACAGAGGGTGCCTGGGACCAGGATGGGAAGGGGCCCAGCATCTGGGATGCCTTCACACATGATGGAAAGGGGAAGGTGCTTGGGGATGAGACAGCAGATGTGGCCTGTGATGGCTACTACAAGGTCCAGGTGAGTGTGGGGTTTGGGGGAAAGCACGTGTGAGCACATACACGTGTGAGCATGTGCCTAGCCAAGAGGTGGGGAGTGACGTATTGAGGGGAGCCCAGGTGACAATGTCACCCCAGTGCTCTGCCAAACACCTCTTACCCCAGTGCAGCCAAAGGGGGTGGGGCCAGTAGCAGCTGGGGTTTGAGGGTTGGGGGCTGAGGGTGTCAGGACGTGGGAGGGTGGATGTAGGAAGAACGGAAAGCAGGGCCTCCCCTGTGCATGCCTTAGGCAAGCAGTGGGTAGCTGAAGGCTGATGGCATGGCCCAGAGCCTGCGACCACCACGGCCTGAACCCCCGGTCCCTGCCTGTGAATTGTTCCCCCACGGAGAGAGAGAGACCGGCTCATCCAAGCCCTCACTGACCTCTCTGGCTGGCTTCTTGAGGGATTCATCACCCAGGTTTATTAGGAGCACCTGATGGGCTTCCCAAAATCCCCCACGGCCTGCATTTATTTGACTCTTGGCATAGCCCCAGCATGAAATGCGGGCAGGCCCCCCACTGTACAGATGAGGAAACAGGTCCTTCCCCTCCTGCTAAGAGTTACAGACAGCAGTGAGCTTTACCCGTGGGCCCAAATGACCCCTACCTTATATTTTCCCCTGACCCAGGGCCCCAGGTGACCCAGCCCTGCCTCCCACCCCTGTCTACACAGGAGGACATTGGTCTGCTGAGGGACCTGAACGTAAACCACTACCGATTCTCCCTGTCTTGGCCCCGGCTCCTACCCACAGGCATCCGAGGTGAGCAAGGGCGACCCCTCCCAAGCCCGAGTGTGGTGCCATGATGGCTTTGCAGGGACACCACAGAGTCTTGAGGAGGGAGACCAGCCCATGAACATGGTCACGGCTGGCAGCAGCTCTCACAGGTGCTGCAGGTAACAGGACTCCCAGGAGTATCTATACTGCCCTCTGGGACTCGGAATGCTGGTGGGATGAGGGTGCCTTTGGTCCAGCAAAAAGCCTCAGAGCCCAGGAATGCTGCACTCCAGAAGGCCAAGGCTAAGGTCCTTACTTGTAGAGTCCTCTTTTATTTCACCTACAGCTGAGCAGGTGAACGAGAAGGGAATCCAATTCTACAGCGATTTCATCGATGCCCTTCTGAAGAGCCACATCACCCCCATTGTGACTTTGCACCACTGGGATCTGCCACAGGTGAGGGCCAGGGGAGGGCAGGTGCAGGGTCAGAGGCCCAAGCAGAGCTCAGCTCAGCAGGAGGGAGCCTGGTTTAAGAATCTGGGTTTGCCAAGGTGGTGCAGAGGCTGGGCCTGCCTGGACTCTGTGCATGTGGACTCTGAGTCTGTCCTGGAGCAGGGGCCACTGGGAGTTGAGGGATTTGGGCTCAAAACATGAAGATGCGAGCAGGTGAAGAAATCTCTGACTCAGTGTGTTAGTCTGTTTGTGCTGCTATAACAGAATACCACAGACTGGGTAATTTGTAAAGAACAGAAATTAATTTTCTCACAGTTCTGGAGGCTAGGAAGTCCAAGATCCAGGCACTGGCAGGTTTGTTGTCTGGTGAGGGTCTTGTCTCTGCTTCCAAGGTGATACCTTGAACCCTGCATCCTCTGGAGGAGAGGAACACTGGGTCCTCATGTGGCTGAAGGCAGAAGGGCAGAAAGGGGGCAAGCCCTCTATCAAGCCCTTTCATAGGGCATCTAATCCCATTCCTGAGGGCAGAGCCCTCATGCCTCAATCACTTCCCCATGGCTGCACCTCTCAATTCTGTTTCATTGGGGATTATGTTTCAACTTGAATTTGAGGGGACAGAAACATTCAAACCATAGCACTCACCCATGGCAGGGACATTACGTTAGTTTAGTTGATGTTTGTAGTAAGTAAAAAGTCCGAATCCTGATGTTTTCCAAAACATTTGGCATAAAAAAATTTTTTTTAACTGTAAATAAACATGTTTTGACTATGGTTTGCTGACATGGTATAATGAACATCTGTTTAGCCTTTTTTTCTCCAGTTTGTGAGCCAGTACCACATGCACTTATGTGTGACCCACCACCCCCAGCAATGTCCATGAAGTCTCAACGTGCTTATGAGCATCACTGTTAGATGTCGTTACTCAAGCAAGGTTTTCATTCATTTATTTCATTCATTCATCCACGTACACGAGTATAACTCTCTAGGACACGGGGCAGATGATGCTGGGTACAGGGTTGTGGAGGTCAGAGGATGGAGATGTGGCTTCAGGAAGACACTGGGGAGAAGGCAGCGTCCCAGCAGAGTTTTGAAGGGTTTGGGCAGGCGATGGAGGGAAGAGTGTTCTGGCTGGAGGGAGCACAGCAAGGAAGCAGGAGAGGGGGCAGGGGAGGCTGGGCAAGCAATTTGTTTAGTCTGGGGAGCAGGCAGGAGAGGGGAAGGCTAGAGGCTGGAGGAGCAGGTGGAAAGGCCTCAAATGCCGTGCTAAGGTGACTGGGAACTGGGGATTGTTCTGGGGGAAGAGGAGCCACCGCAGGCCTCTAAGCTGGGGCTAGGGGTGAGGGGCAGAGCGGGCTTTAGGGAGATGAACTGGAAACCACTTTCTGGCCTCTTCCTAGGTTAATCTCTTCCACTAAATTGCCCTGCTAGTATCCCCTCAAACCCACCAAGAAGAGCTCGCTAGATAATGTCGCCGGAATGACAAATCTTGGGAAAACCCTGCCCCCTGAGTAGCCACGTTTGGTTGGGAGAGCCCTCTGCTGGAGAAAGCACCCCCAACCCCTTACCAGAGGCTCCTGATATCTGCACGGTCCTCAAAATCCTCTCCAGAGCTTTCATGCCCAGCGGCAGATGTCATTTCTTCAGAACTTACATTCAAGGTGTTCTTCCCTTTATCACACATCTTTCCCCTGGCGAATTTTCTTAAATATTCTCTCTGTCAAGTTCCTTCTAAGCATGAGAGTTGCAGACTTCTTTTTTTTTTCTTTTTCCTTTTTGTCTTTTTTCGTGACCGGCAACGGATCACAACCCTCAGTGTCGCGCCTGTACCAGACCGGGACCGGCAACGGGATCGCAACCCTCGGTGCCACGCCCACACCTCACTCAGCCAGTGAGCGGGAACCGGTCTGTATGTGGGATCCGAACCCTCGGCGGGAGTGCCGCCATGCTCCCAAGCGGCGCACTGTAGCAGTGCGCCACCGGGCCGGCCCTGAGAGTTGCAGACTTCTGCTGTTCCCTCCCTCCCTCTTGTTTGTATAAGGCATTGCTATGCAGCTTATTTACACACCGCCATGCTCCCAAGCAGCGCACTGTAGCAGTGCGCCACTGGGCCGGCCCCGAGAGTTGCAGACTTCTGCTGTTCCCTCCCTCCCTCTTGTTTGTATAAGGCATTGCTACGCAGCTTATTTACACATTTAAATTGTTCCATGGTTCATTACTGCTACTGTCTTCACATCTTAATCCCCACAGGCCTGCCTGTTTGCTCCCCTTTCTCCCAGACAAGGCCCCCTAAACATCCTCCGTAGCCGTCATCACCCATGTTTCTCCCACAAACTCAGCCAATTGGCTCCAAAAGTCTCTCTTGGGGCGTCTGCTTCTCTCTCTTTTCACAGCTGCTCCAGGACAAATATGGCGGGTGGCAGAACGTGAGCATGACCAGCTACTTCAGTGACTATGCCAATCTGTGCTTTGAGGCCTTTGGGGACCGGGTGAAGCACTGGATCACTTTTAGTGATCCTCAGGTAAGCAGGGCCCCTCTCCAGGTGTGAAAACCCACTTCCTGCAATGGAGTGCCCCCTGCCATTTCTCACAGATCCTGTGGTCCCCACATGCTGTCCCTATAGGCAATGGCAGAAAAGGGCTATGAGACGGGCCACCACGCACCAGGTCTGACGCTCCACGGCACTGGCCTGTACAAGGCAGCGCATCACATCATTAAGGTGAGATGGTCCTTCTAGGAGTGAAGCCTGGGTTCAAGGTTGAGGGATGACCTATAGTGCTAGCTCAACCTGCCCCGGGGCTCCAAGCCTGAGCTCAGGCCTCTGCTGCTCTCCCTCCAAGTCAGCATTTTCCACAGCACCTTCCATTCTGTGAGGATTTATGGAGGGCCTATCCTGTCATCCAGCCCTCTGCTGGACACAATGGCTGAGACATTATAGTGGCTGCTAAGAGATTACAACCTAGCCAAGGGGATGGAGCGCATACATATGGGAATTTGTTACCCATAGGTCCAAGCTGTCTTGTGAGGAATGGTGACAGGAGGAAGGGGGTGTGTGACAGTGAGCTAGGGGCTAACGTCTTCAATGAGTGAGTGGACAGTAGCAACTGGAGGTTGATGAAGGACAGCAGACCGAGGGGTTAGGAGTGGTCATCTGATAGCATGGACTCTAAAGGACCTGGGTTGGTTTTTTTTGGTGGCTGGCCAGTGTGGTCCAAACTCTTGATGCTGGTGTTACAACACCGTGCTCTAAGCAAGTGAACTAACTTGCCGGCCCAGGAGCTGGGGTTTTTGAAGGAGGAAGGAGAAACAGTTTGGAAGCAACAAGAAAGAGCAAGGCAGACTCCACCCCTCCTTCAGGCCCTAAGTATGTAGGGTGAGGGAAAAAAAATGGCCTCTGCTTGAAAGAGCTGCAGCGGAGGTGGTCTTTAGGGCAGCCGGGCCTCAACTAGGGCAAGAAATTAAGCGAGACTTCCAGAGAAGATGCTGTAGGCAACAGACCATGAGTTACCGGGCACAGGAAAGGCTTGAGATGGTGGGGAGGGAATTGGGTTGTATTGCAGGACATATGTGAGGATACTGTGCTGACTGGGGAACAGCGGCGTGAGGCGTGATGGGATTGGCCGCAAAGGACACCCAGCTAAAGGTGGACAATCTGTTCAATTTGGAAGGCAAGGAGCCACCAGGTGACTGACATATCAGACCCCCTTTCTCATTCTTTCTACCTCTGGCTTATGATTTCTTAAACTGTGGACGTTTAAAGGGCAGAACTCTAAAGATATTTTAAACAATGAACACAGAAGTTGCTTTTCAGGCCTTATCTACAAAAGGCAGTAAGCTGAATAGATGTGATTCTGATATTGTTTTGAGATGGTCCACTTCATTAGACAATCCCATGATTCATTATGTTTTTCTAGTTGGTAATGCTGGCTGGCAAAAAATATAGAAGTATCGGAGAGAAGGCTGATATCATTATGTTTTTCTAGTTGGTAATGCTGGCTGGCAAAAAATATAGAAGTATCGGAGAGAAGTAAGTAAGAGTAAGAGTTCTCTGTGAGTAACAAACAAAACCCCCAAATTTTGTAGCCTTGAGATATTCAGTTCTTCTAGATCGGTGCTTCTCAAACTTTAGCAAGCATTGGAATCATTTAATAAATGATTATTAAAACACAGATTTCTGGGCCCCACTCCCAGAGCTTCTGACTCAGTAGGTCCGGAGGAGGGCCCAGGAAGCTGCATTTCTATCATGTTCATCTTAGATGCTGATCCTCTTGGTCTGGAGGCCACACGCTGAGAACCGATGTTCTAGATCACCTTCCATCTCTCTTAGATGCTGAACTATCCTTTGAAATAGCCTCTAAGGCAAGCCAGCAGGTCTAGTGGAGAATACTGGTGGAGGAGGCTAATTGACGCCATTTCCCAAGACTGCTTCAGATTTTCCTTACTTACTGAACACCTGTGGGAAAAGTACTGGCTAGCTGCTACAGAGGACAAACAAGAACAAAACAGAATCATTAGCAAAAATCTTAGAAACAATAAATAACAACACAAAGTGGTTTATGACAGACTTGGACCAAGTTTCCTCTATTGTACAAAGGAAATACTGTAAGTGCCTCCAGAGGTCAAAGTGAGACTATGGATTGGGATAATCAAGGCTGTATTTATGAAAATGGTGGGTCTTAAGTTGGATCTCTAGAGTTAGGAAGGAGAGAAAAGCTACCCCAGACTGACAGGAAGGGGAGAAACGGATGAGCCAGGCACCTATGATGAATTCCTGCTCCTCTTTCAGGCCCACGCCCAAGCCTGGCATTTGTATAACAGCACATGGCGCAGCAAGCAGCAAGGTGAGTTGTAATCCCACACGTGCTGAGAACAGACAAGTGCCCAGAGGAGCAATGCACACCTGCCTCCCATCCCCCTTTTCTTTCTTTTCCTATAAGGTCTGGTGGGGATTTCACTGAACTGCAATTGGGGGGAACCTGTGGACATTAGTAACCCCAAGGACATAGAGGCTGCTGAGAGATACCTACAATTCTGCCTGGGTTGGTTTGCCAACCCCATTTATGCCGGTGACTACCCTCAAGTCATGAAGGACTATATTGGTGAGTTGAGTCACACTTTTAAACTCCAGATACCACAGCAACAGTTACTGAGCTTAAGTGAAATGAGCAAAAGGCAGGCGGATGGAAGAGCTTTCTGGGATTGGGAGAGGCACTCAAAGGATAACTAGACCCCAAAGAATTGAGAACTGGTTATTTGAATTGCCGGGGAGGGACCCAAACAAATCCCTAGACCTGGAAGTTGAGAATTTTCAGAAACCAGGAAAAAAACTGGCAGTTATTTGGGCTGCTCTCTTTTGTGTCCTGCTGCACTGTCTCCTCCTCCTGCTCCAGTCCACTTCAATTGCACTCAAGTAGAAGAGAAAAGTCAAAAATACAGCTCTGGCCATCACACCTTTGCACAGCAACACCCAAAGGCAGAAGAAAGGGGTTATATCTGTTATATCTCCTCCTCCTGCTCCAGTCCACTTCAATTGCACTCAAGTAGAAGAGAAAAGTCAAAAATACAGTCATGGGCAGGTGCCAGTTCTATTGTAGGTTCTTTCTATCTCTGGAGAAATACTTTCCAAGTTCTGGTTTCCCCAGTGTCAGAGAAGAGAATAAAGACAGGTAAAGGTCACAGGACTGTATCAGCTTGGATGCTGTTTTTGTTTTTTTCTTACAGCTGGCTGGTGCAGGGAAAAGAACCCTGGACCTTGGTGTTGTCAGCACCATTCTCTAAACAACTGTGCTAACTGGCTAGCCCAGCTTGGATGCTTTTAACTGCCACATAACAGAAATTCCACCTAAAACGGCTTGAAAGCTAGGAAATTTAGCATCTCACCTGAGTCCAGAAAAGGGTGATCCAGGGCTAGTTAATCCAGCCCTCAGGGATGTCTTTTGAGGACTCAGGCTCATTCCATCTTTCTACCTTGGCACCTTTAGCCAGCCCATCAACCAATTCCCCAGGGCTACAAGATGACTGCAGCAGCTCTGGCCATCACACCTTTTCACAGCAACACCCAAAGGCAGAAGAAAGGGGTTATATCTGTTATATCTGGGGTTTTTTTTTCCTGCCAATCAGTTTTTTTCCCAATTTTCTTTTTGGGAAAATTTTCTAANGCTGATAAGTAAGAGTTCTCTGTGAGTAACAAACAAAACCCCCAAATTTTGTAGCCTTGAGATATTCAGTTCTTCTAGATCGGTGCTTCTCAAACTTTAGCAAGCATTGGAATCATTTAATAAATGATTATTAAAACACAGATTTCTGGGCCCCACTCCCAGAGCTTCTGACTCAGTAGGTCCGGAGGAGGGCCCAGGAAGCTGCATTTCTATCATGTTCATCTTAGATGCTGATCCTCTTGGTCTGGAGGCCACACGCTGAGAACCGATGTTCTAGATCACCTTCCATCTCTCTTAGATGCTGAACTATCCTTTGAAATAGCCTCTAAGGCAAGCCAGCAGGTCTAGTGGAGAATACTGGTGGAGGAGGCTAATTGACGCCATTTCCCAAGACTGCTTCAGATTTTCCTTACTTACTGAACACCTGTGGGAAAAGTACTGGCTAGCTGCTACAGAGGACAAACAAGAACAAAACAGAATCATTAGCAAAAATCTTAGAAACAATAAATAACAACACAAAGTGGTTTATGACAGACTTGGACCAAGTTTCCTCTATTGTACAAAGGAAATACTGTAAGTGCCTCCAGAGGTCAAAGTGAGACTATGGATTGGGATAATCAAGGCTGTATTTATGAAAATGGTGGGTCTTAAGTTGGATCTCTAGAGTTAGGAAGGAGAGAAAAGCTACCCCAGACTGACAGGAAGGGGAGAAACGGATGAGCCAGGCACCTATGATGAATTCCTGCTCCTCTTTCAGGCCCACGCCCAAGCCTGGCATTTGTATAACAGCACATGGCGCAGCAAGCAGCAAGGTGAGTTGTAATCCCACACGTGCTGAGAACAGACAAGTGCCCAGAGGAGCAATGCACACCTGCCTCCCATCCCCCTTTTCTTTCTTTTCCTATAAGGTCTGGTGGGGATTTCACTGAACTGCAATTGGGGGGAACCTGTGGACATTAGTAACCCCAAGGACATAGAGGCTGCTGAGAGATACCTACAATTCTGCCTGGGTTGGTTTGCCAACCCCATTTATGCCGGTGACTACCCTCAAGTCATGAAGGACTATATTGGTGAGTTGAGTCACACTTTTAAACTCCAGATACCACAGCAACAGTTACTGAGCTTAAGTGAAATGAGCAAAAGGCAGGCGGATGGAAGAGCTTTCTGGGATTGGGAGAGGCACTCAAAGGATAACTAGACCCCAAAGAATTGAGAACTGGTTATTTGAATTGCCGGGGAGGGACCCAAACAAATCCCTAGACCTGGAAGTTGAGAATTTTCAGAAACCAGGAAAAAAACTGGCAGTTATTTGGGCTGCTCTCTTTTGTGTCCTGCTGCACTGTCTCCTCCTCCTGCTCCAGTCCACTTCAATTGCACTCAAGTAGAAGAGAAAAGTCAAAAATACAGTCATGGGCAGGTGCCAGTTCTATTGTAGGTTCTTTCTATCTCTGGAGAAATACTTTCCAAGTTCTGGTTTCCCCAGTGTCAGAGAAGAGAATAAAGACAGGTAAAGGTCACAGGACTGTATCAGCTTGGATGCTGTTTTTGTTTTTTTCTTACAGCTGGCTGGTGCAGGGAAAAGAACCCTGGACCTTGGTGTTGTCAGCACCATTCTCTAAACAACTGTGCTAACTGGCTAGCCCAGCTTGGATGCTTTTAACTGCCACATAACAGAAATTCCACCTAAAACGGCTTGAAAGCTAGGAAATTTAGCATCTCACCTGAGTCCAGAAAAGGGTGATCCAGGGCTAGTTAATCCAGCCCTCAGGGATGTCTTTTGAGGACTCAGGCTCATTCCATCTTTCTACCTTGGCACCTTTAGCCAGCCCATCAACCAATTCCCCAGGGCTACAAGATGACTGCAGCAGCTCTGGCCATCACACCTTTTCACAGCAACACCCAAAGGCAGAAGAAAGGGGTTATATCTGTTATATCTGGGGTTTTTTTTTCCTGCCAATCAGTTTTTTTCCCAATTTTCTTTTTGGGAAAATTTTCTAATGACCATCCAACCCCAAAACGTTTTTCACCTTACAAAATAAAAATTTTATTTTAAATTAAAATTTTATTTTATTTTAAATTAAATTAAATTAATTATTTTAAATTAATTAATTTTATTTTAAATTAAAATTTTACTCTCCCATTCTCTTCCCTCAGCCCCTGGCAACTACCATTCGACTTCTGTCTCTATGATTCTGACTACTCTAAGTACCTCATATAAGTGGAATCATATGGTATTTGTCTTTGTGTGACTGGCTTATTTTACTCAGAATAATGTCAAGGTTCATCCATTTAGTAACATGTCAGAATTTTTTTCCTTTTTAAGGCTGCATAATATTCCATGGTAAACATGGAAGCAACTCAAGTGTTCATTGATGGATGAATGGATAGGCGAAGTATTGTGAATAGTGCTATGAACATGGGTATACAAATATCTTGATACCCAGCTTTTAGTTCTTCTGGGTATATACCCAGAAGTAGAATTGCTGGATCATATGGTAAACTGAATTTTTAATTTTTTGAGGAACTGCCATACTATTTTCAACAGCAGCTATACCATTTTACATTCCCACCAATAGTCCATAAGTTTTCCAATTACTACACAGCCTCGATAACACTTGCTATTTTGTATTTTTATAGTACCCATCCTAAACGGTGTGAGGTGTATCTCATTGTAGTTTTAATTTGCATTTCCCTAATGATTAGTGATGTTGACCATTTTTTCCTGTGCTTATTAGCCATCCATATATCTTCTTTGGAAAAAATGTCTACTCGAGCTCTTTGCCGATTTTTGAATTGGGTTGTTTTTGTTGTGGTTGAGTTTTATGAATTCTCTATATATTCTGGATATTACTCTTGCATCAAATATATGATCTGAATATTTTCTCCCATTCTGTGCATTGCTTTTTTACTACGATGATGCACAAATTTTAAAAATTTACATGAAGTCCAATTTGTCTAGTTTTTCTTTTGTTACCTGTGCTTTTGGTGTCATATCCAAGAAATAATTGCTGAATCCAATGCAGTAAAGCTTTTGCCTGTGTTTTAAGATTTTTATAGTTTAGGTCATACATGTAGGTCTTTGATCCACTTTGAGTTAATTTTTTTTATATGGTATTGGTGAAGTGTCTAACTTCATTCTTTTGCATGTGGATATGTGGTTTCCCCAGCCCCATTTGTTGAAAAGACTGTTCTTTCCCCATCTAATG